CCAATCATAAAAATAAGTCTTAAAGTCATTATAACAAAACAGAAAAAAAGAACAAATTAAAATAACACCTTTTTTGTTACAAGAAGTCTTAACTATATAAGCAATTCTAAGGAAGATTAAAAATATTTTGAATGCAGCCTCTTTAAACAAGCACTGGAACACAGTTGCTTGACAATGTGAAATTGCCAGATTACCTGATCTCCAGCTGGTGGGGATCTGGACGGTGCACAGATCATCTGAGGACTCATCGGTGGATGTACCGATGAAATCAAAGTTGAGGCAATTGTGGGCCAGTTTGAGTAGCTGCATGAGTAGCCCATGCTGGCTCTCATCATTTAGATTCAAGTTCTTCCCAGATGCCTGCAGACATACAGAACAATCCATTGAGTCATTGACACAAATCCCAAGCAGGCTGGTTTAGCGGTTGTGAAGACGAATATACAGACAGACAGTTCTTTTGTGCAGTCTCTGAAGCATTAAACTTACCTGCTTGAGGAGGTTGCAGGAGAGGGTAAAAATGTCAAACAAGGAGGAATCTCGAAATGATGACGCAATCTTTCTATGTTTTGTAAGTGGATGTGTTGAGTCCGCCTGGAGAATCGAAAGAAGATTCAAGGAATCAGTAATCTATCTTTAATGCAACTTTCAGTTATTGAACCCAAACATACATAAATGATTTCCAAGCACTGAGCAAAGACTAAATTTACATTTACATATAGTCAATTAGGAGACACTTTTATCCAAAGCGACTTACAAATGAGGACAATAGAAGCAATCAAAACCAACAAAAGAGCAATAATATGCAAATCAAGGCATACTGCAAGCAGAGAAACTTACTTGGTTAATCTCATTGGTTAACTGGGAAAGAATTGTGACTCCTATGATGCAGTGTTCAACACTATCCTAAAAAAAAAAGAAGTTAAAAATACAAACAACTTCATAACTTTCAGGAACATTACTCAGATTTAACATCAACCAATTTTAGCTTTTGCAATTTTATCATTTATGCCATCATGCTGAAATTGTAAGTGACAAACACTTCACATGAGTCATACACTGAGAGTGCACAAATCCCAGCTGTTTGAATTTTTACCACAAAATGCTTCTACAGACTTAATTGTAGTCATATAATAATTATCTAGTTATTGTGCGGTTGCATTTAAAGCTCCTCATTCACAAAACAGGAGTTTGAGTATTGAATTTGTATTAGAATTTTTATTTGCTCATAAATAATTTCTATTGAAAGGGATGCATTTACCTTGCATTACATAAGAATGGTTTTATAAACCATTGACACAAATTTATTGCTCGTGTTTCATGATGAATGAGGGCAAATGTCCTCACAGAGTTCAAGGTGATTTTGATAATTGCATCGAAAATATCAAACAAGATATTGTCCACATATCTCGACCAAGACTTGTATTTTGAACACCATCAACAGCAGTTTCCTTAAAAAAATTCAAATGACATGGATAATTTTATATGGATGCATTTTCTTTTTGTTAACACTTTAGATTAGGGAACACATTCACTATTAACTATGACTTTTGCCTCAAACTTCTAATTTGCTGCCTATTATTGTTAGTAAGATAGTTGTTAATTTTAGGTATGGGGTAAGAATAAGGCATTAATATATGCTTTCTGAGTACTAATAAACAGTCAATATGCTAGTAATATGCATGCTAGTAAGCAACTAGTTAATAGTGAATAGTACCTAATTTAAAGTGTTACCAAATAAAAACCAAGTATTTAAAAAGAAACTTTATCTTGAGGTGAGAAAACATCCATATAAAATTATCCACATTTATTTGGATTTTTCATATGGAAACTGTAGATGATGATGGTTTTCAAAATACAAGCCTTGTTCGAGATATATGGACAATATCTTGTTTGGCACTTTTGATCCGATTCTCAATCAACTTGAACTTTGTGAGGACATTTGCCCTCATTCATGAAACATGAGCAATACATTTGTGTAAATGGTTTATAAAACCATTCTTATGTAAAGTATTGCATTAAATGCAAGGTAAATGCATGCACGCTAAGTGCTACCGAATATCAAGAAAAAAAAAATATATATATAATAATTTTCTACCAAAAAGTTTGTGCCTACTTGCCTTAAAGATGCGATAACAAAAAACAAAGAAACATTTCCAAGTAGTATAACTCTGAACAATATTATCTTTTCTAATAATGCTATAAAATTTATCATACCTGCAGGAATCTTGTCACATCGACAATGACATTCCTGAAGATGTAATCTTCCTTTTGGCAGTCAAACCAGCCAAGCTTGGTGATTCTGGCATAGAGCTGGATCAGGGCTTGTGTCACGAAGGCAGCAAGCTTTGGCCGGGTTGCCAGATAATTGAGAACATAATTTCCTGAGGAACCAACGTGACATTTATTTCCAAAATGTGTCTTTTCTGGGTTTTGGGGTTCTAAATCTCATGGTTGATCTGATAAACTTACGAATGTCAATGCGCTGCTCCAGGGGAAGTGGGTTGCCTGTACGAGACACCAACTTGGAGAGACACGTTGCAGCCAACAACTGTGAGTACGAGGACTGTAAAGATTTTACAAATACAGTGTGAAGTTAAATAGTTGCTTAACTAAAAACTAATGGACTTGGATTTTCGAGAAAACTGTTGTCAGATCAATTCAGATATCTTGTTTTTCACAGTTCTCAAAAAGTTTCATTCTTACACTTCCGCTTTCCAGCAACAACTGGCATTTACTCAGGCAGTCGGGACTGTTGGTGAACTCCACCAGAGCTTTCTCGGCCTGTAAACGTGTGGTGGTGTCTGTGGTCTCGTATAGCTGCTTGCACAGGATCTCTAGCTGGGCTAGGCTCTGAAAAAAGAGACCCACATGAGTTTAATGTCAGCACAAAAAAAAACAAAAAAACACATTCAGAGGATATTTGAGAGATGAACCAATAAAACTTCTATGTCTAAACTATTTACACATCTAAACTATTTTTTATAAACAAAGTCTACTTGCAGAAATGTGTAAATATTCAAATTAGATGATGAATATGGTCAATGACATTCCTTTATCTGCATCTATTACGTTTTCAATCAAAAATACATAAAAAATTCAATTCATACAACGACCTGAATACAACTATTTCGACATAAGTATGTTTTTGATATCTGCATTAAAATCTATTTTAATACTTATTTAGGGTATAATTAAAAATAATATGTCAGGGTAATTAAAGTTTAAAGTAATAGGACAATCTTTAATCATTTCTTTAAAATATAAATATAAATTTAAAAAAAAATTAACAAAACTTTTGTGTGCCAAATCATAAGTCATGTGGTTTTGAATCAATAAATGTCAAGATCAATAAGTTTCCTAAATTATTAAATAATTTGGCCTGTTTAAGACAAGGCTGGTTTAGGTTGTAAAGCATCATGTGGTGCAACTCCACAAAAACATTTATAAATGAATAATTCACAATCTTTGTCTAAAAATACTTTTACCTTAAAAAATAAATACAATTTTAAAAATGTAAATATTTTCTGAAAATAATGATAAAGATGCATTCAAGGTTTAGGGAAATCTGATATAAATTTTTACTTGATTACACCACATGACATTTTTAGTGTCATTAAATTGCTCCAATTGCTTAGAACTGCAATAGCGCAACTCCTCAACAAATAACGCAATTTGAAATATCATAAGCTATGTTTCCAACTAGACAGACACTAATGTTCCATTAAGCAAATTAATGCGCAGACATCACATCCACAAGTTATTGTTCTAGGTCACAGAGGGAGTATCTGGTTCATGCAAGCATGAAAGACTATATGGTGAAAAGTCAGCGATACACTTTGCTAATACATAGAGGAGCAATGAAAGAGCTAACTGCTGCTATGCAGCAACAAGCCTCTGACTCTAAGCAGTTCTTTGTTCCCTTGTGGAGCATAACTATACAAAATCAGCATCAGCAGAAAAACAGCAGCTGCAACAAATGCACAGCCTCAATGAAAAACTTCAAGTTTATTATGCTAAAGAATTCTATAACTATAACTACTAGAGTTATTTCTTTCTTTTTTTGCGCTCACAAATTTAATCCCATGTTAATAAAACAGTTTAATACTTAAAAAACACACTTTCTTGTGCATTTCACAACTTTAAGTTGGTTTCTCATGTCCGTATGCTTGATACAACCTGCTGATAACTGAATCAAAAGACCCTAAAAGAAAAGGGAGGACCTCTAAACATACAAGAAAAAAAAGCAAGATAAAACGCAAGATGTAATGGCAAGGAACTGCACAGAAAAGATAAGACGCCTCTAAGTTAAAAAACCTCAAATGAAAATATCATGCATTTTGTTTTTACTAAAACTAACATCAATCCACCTGTTCATACCAACCTATAACATATTATTAATAACCACCCTTAACATGCTTTGAGCATTCTGCATTCTATGTTTACATGTACTTAAATGCTTCTGAATTATATTGCAAATTTACAATAAACTAAAAGTTTAAAGCTGCCTAACATGAAAGGAATGGAATGTTACAAGCCATAAAACCAGCTCGCATGGCATTTTTTTATTTCAGTGAAATGAATGTACTGTATTTTAGTTTGATAATGTTTTTTTATTTTTAATATTTTTATTTTTTTTTACCTTTAACCACTTTTTGAGCATAAATGAAATTTCAAACTTAAACGTAAATCTTATATTTGGAGCACAGACTTAAATTTGGTTTCTTTAAATAAGAAATTGCAGCTTATTGCTGAAGTGAAAGTTTAAAAAAAATGAAACAAAAAAAGTTATAGAAGTGTATTATTATGAAAAATGCACAAAAATATATACATATATATATTTTGCAAATACATATTTGTTTTACAAAGCCATAAGTCTAAACATGTTGTGTTTCAAATTTGAGGGTGATATTTTTTAAAAAGAGAGCTTTCGTTAAGATTTTGTTTGGGTGCTGTACCAAATGTTTCCACTAGAAAGCAAGACAAAGACCAGCTGAAGAACCATGGAGGAGGACATCAGGAGAAAAGGGATGCTTTATTTTCATCAGCAGCGCTTCGGGAAGGTGAGACTCAATGTCATTCTCAGAGCTTTATGAGTAGTGCGATTATTTTCAAGTTAAACTAAAGAAATGAATGCACTTTCACCTGCATGGATGTGGATTCAGCATATACCAGCAGAATGACAATGGCAAAGATCAGAAATGTGGCCGCTGTACTGGCCTTGAGTATAAAACGCACATAACGCAAATAACACACACACACACACATACACACAGGTTTGTTTTTATGGTTTATGGGGACTCTCCATAGGCGTAATGGTTTTTATACTGTACAAACCATATTTTCTATTGCCCTACACCAACCCTACCCCTAAACCTACCCCTTACAGGAAACTTTCTGCATTTTTAGATTTTCAAAAAAACTCATTCTGAATTATTTATAAGCCTTTTGAATTACGGGGACACTGAAAATGTCCTCATAAATCACCTTCTCGTTGTAATACCTATGTCATACCCATGTTATTATACAAATTTGTGTCCTCATAAACCACATAAACATGCACACACACACACACACACACACACACACACGGTATATACACATATAAAAGAATGCTGAGAAATATGTACTGTGATTTACACAAAACTATGAAGCAGCACAGCTCTTTTCAATATTGATAATAAGAAATGTTGTTTTATATTACATCATTATCTATTAATATTAATGTTACATTATTATACATTATATCATTATAAAATGTTAAAAGATGATACATTTAAAAAGTCTTTCTGAGAACAATATAGTAAAATATTAGTGTGATTTACATTGTGTACATTATGTAACTGATTTGAGTACATTTATATATTACACATTATTATTATTATACATTATTATGATATTAATATTATATATACAGTTATACTAAAATTACTTACATAATGCAATTCACATTTCTTCTATCTATCTATCTATCTATCTATCTATACATACATATCAGAATGGAATGGAATTTATTTTATTTCTCTCTCTCTCTCTCCCCTCTCTCTCTCTCTTTTTACAACAATCCCATTACAACCTATAAACAAGTTATGTACAATTAATCAAACAATGTGTTAGAATACATGACCTAAAATGAGTAGCTAATCAAGATTACATTTTCATCGTGTATTTGTAATCAGTAACAGATTACAATAAAAAAAAGTAATCTACCTAGCTCTGTATGAATACATCACTAACTTTTGGCAACCAGACGACGTCCAAATACTTTTTGTATATTGTTTCATCATTTACAACTTTCCTTTTTGATGAAATATTTAGTTTAAAAGTGTCTTTGTGCTTTTTCTTTTTTAAACAATACTTGGTTTGATATTTGCTATGTAATGCAATAACGCGTGACTTTAAAGTATATGTATTGAAGTATTTCAGACTGTGATGTGCGTGTGTGCTCTTCAGAGATGGAGGAAGCTGTGGTGTGTGCTGCTGGCGGAGAGCAGGCGCAGCGTGTCACGGCTGGAGCTGTACGAGCACAAACACTCCTCCATCAAACAGGGCTCCAGCAAACAGGGCTCCAGCAAACGCAAGCCCGACTACAAACAGGTGATCCGGCTGCGAGAGTGCATCCAAATATCAGAAAGAGAGATAGCCGACTGCCCCAAAGACTGCGCTGCCTTTTACCTCGAGACCTCAGACAAAGTTTACATGTTCGCTGCCCAGCGTTCAGAGCTGAAGGACTGGATCAAGAGTCTGTGCGAGCAGGCGTTCCCTGTAGGTTCAATCACATCAAATCACAGCGCATAATGATGATGATGAGCGTTTTGCTAATTGCTCATAATACATAACGGACACGTTCAGGTACAGATGTCACACTTTAAAACCGTTTCATGTTTTTCAGGACATCGAGGCTGAACAAAGATTACAAAGAGAAAGCTGCCTTTATTCTGACCCTGTGAGCACCAGAGAAATGAAGGAAAACTCACTTTACGACACAGCAGAGAGCGGTAAGGCAGTTATCGTCACGCGAACAACCTAAATATAACTTAGAAATGATTATAAAATAACGTTCTTTACAATCAATCTACCTTTACCACTGTGAATTGGTTTGCACAAGCATTATTGTGACCCTAAACTACTGCAAACCTAAGGGTAAACTTGCTCTTTCGTCATTAAATCAGTTTAACTCTTTCATGCAATAAGAAGAAATGGTAGATAATATATAAATGTAGTCTCTAGCCTATGTTTTTATTTTACTTGGAGTTGCTTTCAGTTATAGGCTATATCTATTTTTATATAACTTTTTGTACTATTTATTTTTGTATTTATTTAAAATTAAAACTGTAACACATGGTGACCACATGTTATTATTTTTCATATTTTATGTATTTAGAGATAATTTAAAAAGTCTATCTATCTATCTATCTATCTATCTATCTATCTATCTATCTATCTATCTATCTATCTATCTATCTATCTATCTATCTATCTATCTATCTCATATAATACGTTTTGTATTTTATGTATTTACAGAGAATTAGGAAAGTGTTATATCTATATCAGTATATGTATTAATATATCTATATCTATATCACACATACACGCGCGCGCACACACACACACACACCCCCACACACACACTATCTATCTATCTAAATACATAATATAAATAATATAACACTATATATATATATA